GAGGCCCTGATCTCCACAACTCTCTTCGTGTCATGCTCGCACTGCAAGAATGGACTACCAAATTAGGAAGCAGCAAAAGAAATAGCATCTTTTCTGTCTTTCCAATAAGCCGGAGGAAACAAGCACCCTGCCTCCCTGTATTACTACCATTTGTTTTGGGGTGTTGTCTTTCAGCATGGAAAAGAAATTAAAGACTCAGAACTTTATCTGTTCGGTGTTCATCATGACCTGTGCAACTGATAACTGATTTCTTACCAGAAACAAATAGAAGGCCTCCCGAAGTTAAGAAGCAATAATGGAAAAGTACTGGTCTTACCACCATTTTCTTCAGCACAAGATGATGAGGTATCATTCAACAAGCAGTCTTGATCTGTCATATTGATTCTGATGGAACAAGCAGCCCTGGAAAGTCAAATGACCATTTCTCTGTGAGGCTCTAAACAAGTCAGAGTCCTGTGTACTTCAGAACTTGCAAAACTTCAAAAAGAGAGCTGCTACCCAAGACAGTCATCATTAAAGTACACTAATATTTTATTAAAAGCTGTAAGAAAAAAAATGCCCATTTCCTTTTTTTGCAATAAAATAAGCTCTGACAATAGCAGTTCACTTCAGCACTTCAAATGCTTCCTTTTTAAGCACTTACCTACACCCTACATGATAAACTTTCAGGTTTGAAATCTAACAGCATTTCATATATATTGGATTGGCAAATCCCAATAAAAAACATTCTATGTGTTTATTACAAGGCTCTTTTTGTAGGAAAAACATGAAATGTCCCTTTCCATAAAAATGGATTTAAATAAATAGATGTAGTTTTCTTCAGATTGGCTCCGTTTGTACAGTTAACACCTTTTCTTGATTCCAGTGTCAAGAAGTAAGCATAAACGTTTACAGCTCTTAGCACGCATGTAGTGAGAAATCCAACTCATGCTTTCATTTTTGAAGGGATTATTTCCTGCCAAATCTGCTATTTTCTAACACAAAAGAGAGAAAATTTGTAGATTTGAGAGTGCAAGGTAATACTGTTACTATAGAAAGATGTGGCTATAGAGTTAGCATGACATTGTAAATAGCAATGGAAAAAAGCAGACAAAATTAGTTAAGTAACCGGAGTGCAGACAGATTGGTCCCAGTGATTTACAGTCATGAGAAGTGCTTTGCATTAGTGTCCTTGGCATGAATTAGTATTTTCCTGTTATATTTGTATTACATTAAAATATACTACTCAAATTACATCTTGACTGAATTAGAAGAGTGCAGTGTATACTTGTACTTTGTGTACTTCAAGATGCTTCTTACAGTTTGCGAGATTCCGCTGACATCTGGGATCTTAAGGTTTAAACTAGGGAAGACCACTATTAATGGTCTTTCATTTTCAGAAGAAGGTTAAAAAACCCTACACTGTGTTTTCAAGGGAATCACATGACTTCAGTTGGTTTTGCCACAGGTATATCAGCCACTTATCTGTACATTTTCAGTAAAACTGAAGCAAGAGTCAGTAAAGCATAAGATCTGTTCTTTAACTTCCAAAAGCAGCTTTTCATGGAATATTCAATGCCTACCACGTCCACAGAAAGAGTCAGAAGCTATTAACTGACTGCATACACAAAATCCTTATGTTCAAACATTTCTGTCCCAGAAACCATCGTCAAGGAATAGTGTTTTAGTCCTTCAGCTTGATTTATTTTTGGTCAGGGTGGACTGAACTACAACTGTCCTTTACAGGAAGATAAAAAAAACATGAAGCACAAATTGTTTGAACTACACTTTTAAATTACTTACACTAGAAATACAGAACAAAACCAAACCTATTCCATAGGCCAGATGATCTGCATACACATATACTATCACCCTGTATTGCATGTGTGCTATTATAGCAAAACCCTTTGCTTGGAATCAAATTCCAACTAGTATTTATCCTGCAACAGAATAATAAAGTTTTATATAAGTACGTGGCAATGAATTTCACTCAAAACATCCTTAGTAACTTGTACTTAATTAAGTCCAGAAAAAGCTTGTTCCAGCCCTTTACTACTACTACACGATCTTAATATTGCAAGCAAGGATCAGAATTTGTGTTACGTTCCCAAAATACTCCTTTTCTACTTTGCACTTCATAGTGGGAAAAATACAGAAAAGAGCAACTACTTCAGGTAAAATTTTAATCATTAAAAGATTACAACAAAGGTACAAGTAGAATGAGTGTTCTCCCTAAAAATAAAGGGTTGGGAAGGAACAGTATCTGGATGTTTCTGTCCTTGCCCCTGCCAGTGGATCCTTCAGCCATTCATTCTTAGCTTTATTTAATAAGTAATAACCGTTAAGAAACAAAGTGAAATATTCTCTGAGAATTCTCAGACTGAGTATCATCTTAGTGTACATTGATCATAAATGCATGATAATGCATTTCTTGCAAATGTAGAAAGCCAATACAGGTTTTACTTAAGTTTAGAAAAAGTCAGGGGAAGGAGAAGGAGGAGTTGAGCCACAGAAGTGGTATTAGCAGCATTCGTAATCCATTTTGCCATGGAAACTGCTGCACTGTGGAATCCCAGTCTGCTGTGAGCACAGGCTGCTAAGAAAAGAAAAGTAGACAGCTGCTAGAAGACTATCAGAGCAATCCATAATAGTAGTGATAGGAGGGTGATTAGCTCCCACATCCTCTTTCCTCATTATCATTAAATCATGGCTTACTGTTAATATGTTGTTCTTTCATGATAAGTGACACTGTAATTTTCTTAGCGAAAAAATCTGAGAGATTAGCTTAAAATGTGTAAAAAAGATCACTAATACTGTGCACCTTTTAAATAACATCCCTTATTTCAATAGCTTGTGCCACTTTGTTTACCTACTGAAATATGTCCTTGAAGATTAAGTATATGCACTCAGCATGTGGCAACTGCCAAATCATGGGAAGCATTTCCCACTAAAACTGTCACTGCATTAAGGGCAGTAAGTACCTTGGGAAACGTGCAGAAAAGAACTGAAGCAGAGCTCAGGGCCCCACAAACCTGCTCACCTACTAATTAACCCCTGGACATGCTTCCTTAACTTGCCTTAAGGTTACTAGCTTTCTAAATTGTACTTCTGTAAATGGCAATGACTCTTGCAGTCTTGAACGGCAGGACACTTTGTCTGTATTTAAGCTCAATAAAAGTCCAGAAACAAGTGGCTCTTCTTCTGATGGGATTTTCCCCTAGTTTGGTGGGAGTTTCTACAACATTCCTCTGGACCTAAGCTCTTTGAAATACTCAGATGCAGCTACTCTTAGTTTAAAAAGCAGAGGGCAGGTGGGTTCCTCCTCCTTAGTTCCAACTGCTTAAAGATTTTACCACAGAAGGAGTAGATCCAGATAGGGCAGAAAAGCTGGTCTAGGGTAGGAGTTGCTTTTACTGCTGTGTCAAACATATCATTACACAGAAATAAATGCAAAGTTCTATAAGTTACAGAGCTTAGTGCCAATATAGATTCTTAAAAATAAGGTTATGTTTTTGCTTCCTTTGAATAGGAAGCAGTGTAATTGTGAATTCTACAAGGAACACTACAATAAGCCACACCAAAGCTAAGCGACTAGATAAAATTAACTGACCTCTCTAAGTGAGTCATAGAGAGCCTTCCTTATATGACTTGCTGACCCAGTCCTACAAAGTTATATACCTAAACTTCCGGAAATAAGTAAGTAAGCATGAAAAAGTCACATTACTTGAGATGCCATCCATTCTGGGCCCATAACTAAATAATCTTCCAATTCCATAAGTGTACAGAAATATACTGTATTAGACAAATATTTGAGGGGAAGAGAGACTATATGTAACAGTAGATTATACAAAAATTTTTTCACCAAAGGCTTCACATGCAAGAAGGGAAAAATTAAAGTCAGGATCCTGCTTGAAAAATATGACAGTACATATAAGAACAAGTAATTGAAGTATAGTTGTTTGATGAAAGAAAGATTGCTGAAAAGAAATGCTCAAATGAAGGTCAAGTATGCCTAAGATCAAGTCAGTTCTTCTGAGAAGTCACAGAAATTGTGCTGAGGTAAAGTAATTCATTGCTGGAGGAGAACTGGGATTGGAGAAGGAGATTGTCAGTTGGATAGAGCAGGGACTTCAGCGGAAGTGAAACTAATGCTGCCTTCATCCTACAGCAAGCAGTGCAGCTCCACAACTCTAGAATGGCCTAAGTTTTTCTATACAACTAATGGACACCTTCTTTTCCCCTTGCCAGCCCCTGCAACAGTTCATCTCTTCTAGTCTGTAGAACTATTGCATTGGTTGTACTGGGACTGAACAGAGGCACAGAAACATGAAACACATCCTGGCAAGTTTGGGGGGAAGGGAGGAAAACAAGATGTTATTGTTGTTTTAATATAATCAGTAAGAGGAGTTATTTTCTGTACAATATTGTATGATTGCAACATAATTTTGCTTTCAGTTCTCAGTATTTCATTGTGACAAAAGCGAAGTTCAGAAGGTGGTTTGTTTGGTGCGCAAGCATTTGATTAAAGGTGATCAAAACCAAGTGAACACTTAACTGAGACATGAATGCTTAACAGATATATGAACAAGATAGAAAAAAAGAAGAATCATTAAAATGTTAATTTTACGGGAAGGGAGTTAAACTGATATGGAAGGTTTAACCTGAACATCAAGGAAATCTTCCTTACAAAGATGCAGATATGAGAATAGGCTTCCAATGAAAACACCAAAAACATAGATGCTTCTGATTTTGCAGTGCAAGATGTCCAAGTAATATGAAAATGAATCTGCATGTAAAGGGAATAAACTAAGTAAGTTTTTTGGCTTGTTGGGGTTTTTTTGGTTCTGTTCTGTTTTTTAATCTTTCAACATTAGTCATTCAAATCCAAGTGAGCTTTTGGCTGAACACACTCTGTATGTTCCTCCAGTTATATATAAAGAACATATGATGAGAGAAATTATTTTGAAAAAATAATTTATTCTCTTTCATAGTCAATTCTAATACTTCCTTTTATATTTCAGGGTGCAAGTTGAATTCTATATGAATGAAAACACATTTAAAGAGAGGCTAAAGCTCTTCTTCATCAAAAACCAAAGATCAAGTAAGCAGTTGGATTAATTTCTGTTAAGCATTATTGTGATACTTTGAATAGAATCCAATTCCACTGAAGGCAACAAAGTTACCATTAATTTTCTTCTGAGCTAAAATTTTATCCTATCGAGGAGTCAGTTTAACATAATATCTAAAACAAATTCAGATAGTATTATTTGAACTTAAGAACAACATACTTATTTTGTAGGATCAAATAATTAGTGATGCAATTTTATTTCTGTATCATGATCAAGTTGACTAATTTGCATGGATCTGATATTGCAATGCTCATTGACAAGTCATGACTTTATTTCTAGGAAAGCAAAGAGCCTTTAAGATGTTGGAGGAAAAGAGCTACAGAAGTACGTAGCTTTTTGAAGTGTTCAATCTTATTAAGTATTCCTAAATAAATTTCAAACTTGATCTGTACTAAAAAAAAAAAAAAAGACAACTATTTGGAAAGTAAACTAATGGGGAGGACAAACTTCCTTCTCCTGAATGTGGTACCTCAGAAATGTAGTCCTTGTCTTTAGTCTGATTTAACTATAACTTCATTGACATATGCACTTAAATTCATAGGCCATCATAGAAGAGAATAAGGTGGAGGAACTAAGATATTAATCTTTTTCTATACATCCATGCAGCTGGTCCAAGGGGATGGAAGCATAGTATATCATCAAATTTTGATTAGACCAGTGGAGTTCATAGCTGAGAAGACCAGTAATTGAACTCAATTTTCTCTGTGTAGCAGGACTGAATTTACCTCCATTTGCCCTACACCTGTAAAGAGCTAAAATTACAATAGCTTTATCCATAAAGCTTTTAGACTATAAAGAATACATTTTGGCCTTTTAATACAGCTAAGATGGTTCCATGGCTTTATGTCTGGGAAAGGACAGAAAGGAGAAAAGAACAAACTTTACTTTTTTGGTGTCCCAATCTAAAAAAACCCCAGACAAACAAAATTTGGGAAGCTAGATCAAGTTTTTAAAAATAAGACATACCATAAGATCTTCTATCTGTAAGAGCTAGTATTTATTAAATACTAGTTTTACCTCACAGAACATGACCTTTTTATTGGCTAAGCTTCTCTAACTTTTGAAGTGTGACAAGCAAAATATTCCCCTAAGCTTCACCCCCCCCCCAAAAAAAAAAAAAAAAAAAGGCACTGTACTGTGAATAACTGGTATTTTCAATTTGGGCTTTGGAATTATTTGCTGGTTTCTAGCTGGACAATCAGTTTTAACAAAGCTTTAACAAAATTCATCCTAATTCAGGTGCCTAAATAGCATAGAAAACAGAGGATTATCTCTGCTGGTAAATGATGTGGGTAGCCTTCAGAGTATCTTCTTTTCTAAATTTCAGATGGGACAGATTTTTTCACATTAATACATTTAACTAGATTTAGTTGGTAAATTTATTTACTAATGAAGATTTTTATTTGAAATCAGTTTCTTATTCTGTGTTAGCACACTTTAGAGCTCTCACTGCATTTTGGCTAATAGGAAGAGAACGCATACAAAAACTAAGTATGAGTAGAACAAAGAAAGCAGATGCGTGAAGACCAGTCTCATACTCCGTTTTATGTTTACATATGTAACTGTGTTGCGAAGGATGAATTTTTGCATGTAGGATGTGGAGTCTCCCTTCATAGAGATATTAAAAAAACGGTCTAGACATGATCCTGGGCAACAAGCCCTAGGTGGCCCTACTTGAACAGAGGAGTTGGACAAAATGACCTCCAGAGGTTGCATTTTAAATGTAATTAATTGCACTACAAGTTCTCAAATGGTTTTAGTTTTCTTCTACTTTTCTCCCTGTGACTTTACATGTCTAAGTATTTAATATCTTTATAGCCTTTGACTTCTGTCATTGTTGATACAGTGTGTAATGAAGTAAGAGACAAAACAGAAAAAGCATCCTAAACTAGGAAAGGCTATTACTCCTGGCTAGAAAGGCAGTGTGGGAAGCTGTAAGCAATAAATAGAATTTTTGTTCCTGATCTAGTCCAGAAAATAGGGGTTTGACACACTCTTGTTCACTTACTAAGAACATTTATAAAGTTATGACCCAACTCACTGTAAATCTGCTTTCACTGATAAGATAGGAAGGTTTGAATAGTACCTTCTTGCTTGAGATATGACAGATTTTTTTTTTCCCTACTTAGATCTTAACAAGATTGAAAACTACCTATATAGAAATACATATTTTGATGGCAGAACTGCAGACTCTGTACATCTAAAAATAGATACATTTACAATCATCAGCACAAAAATTAAACCAGAAGTTAATTAGTACAAATTCATGGCCATTCCTTTGTCAACTGCATACCCTTCTCACTAAGCACATTAAGAGAATTGTCGTAAGTTACTGTACTGGGACATCTCTATTAGGTTATGATTGGGTAAGTATTATTATGGGCCCAAAAGAGAGGAATGATGTGGAAGTTTCTTCACAATAAGAGAGTGGGAAACAACTGTTAATTCATCCTATTGGAAATGGGTTCATGCTGTAGGCAAGTAGAACAAGAATTTTCCTGCTTGGCTTGCTTAATGATTGCTGGAAAAAATCCAGATTCTGCTGAATTCTCCTACACAGTGATGCCATACAGAATTAGGTAAATTTTGTAGAAGCATAATGTGGTTTTGATTAACAAATGAAAACATAGTAATAACTTTTTCCAGGAGACAGCTAGTAGAGATGCTGTCATTATGGGCACCTTCTTTTCCTGAGAGGACTCCAAAGAAAACTCTAATAGATGAGATATGTTTTTTCTATTGTTGAATTACACAGCTAGTTCATGGAAAGTAAGTTGGAGAATGAGGGTGCTTACTGTACTTACAGCAGCATATGGCATGGGCATGCCATTTCCCACTAGAATCCCACAGGTTACCCAAGCCCTGCTACTGGTTCTCATGATACAAGAAGCTTAATCAACAATTAGACATTAAACAAGGCAATTTTCAGGAGAAACAAACAGGAAATACAGCAAAATTATTACTGTACTGAATGAACAAAAAAGTTTCCTCAAACCAAAGTGTTCAGAATCAGTAAGTTTAGTCAAAAACTCACTCCGCTTATGCAGATCTTGGTTCTTGTCCAAACACTCACAAGCGGAACCCTCTAAAATACAATCTTCAAAAACCTGCTGCTGAGGTAGTAACCTGCCACTCATTCAAGTGTACTCATTGAATACTCCTTTGAAATGGGAGGATTCTGTTGCCCAGAGGTGTCAGGGAGTTGATAAATAAAGAAATTGCTCTTTAGATCTTAGTCAGCGTTCAGTGAGAGCACTGAAAACTTTCCTTCACATACTAAAGATGATGCAAGCAAATGAAAGTTCAACCAATGCATGAAAAGCATTTTACAGAGGTGTCAGCCAGCCAAATAAAAAGAAAAATTTAAAAAAGAGAGAAAAAGATGATGTATTGGTATGACTTGCTTCTATTTGCCAAGATCACACACTGCATTATCACAACCTAAAATAAGTCTCAAGGGGAAAAAAAAATAAGGGACGTTTCGATTCAGTAGAGAGGGAATAAAAGATAACCATCACTGGGATATATATTTTTAACAGCATATTTTAATCCAACTCCTAAAGCAAACTGCTACTGAGATGATTTTGCTGAAAACCCAAAATATATTAGAGACTTATGAGAAAGGAATAATGGAAGGTGATCATAAAGTTTTCAGCTGCTATCTCTGTTGCTCTCGCTTTGATTTAGATCAGATCTCTAAATCAGAGGATTAATCTCCGAAAATGCTTGTAAGGGAAGCATCAAGATTTATAATAAAAGTGAAAGTCACAGTCAGTACTGGTGAAGTATAGTGTATCACTCTGTACTTAAAAATGCCTGCAAAAAAAAGCAAATACTTGCTCAAACTGAGAAGGAAACATTAATGTTTGACATAGTTATATTTATTTCACAAAACAAACAGATTTTGAACAGTTTTCAATTTCTTCTTTTAAAGAAGACAAAGGATGTAACACTATGGTTACATGGACACAGTCAAATTACAATCTCATTAAACAATACACAACTGGATAACAGTGTATGATTGATGTAGCTGAATACCAAGTTTCAGGCACCAGTGTCAAAACCTAGAGGTACTCTGTGCAAGTGACCCTACTGCTTGAACAATGTGTCTGTGAATGAAAAAAAAAGAAATTAAGTCAAGCAGACCATGTTGATCCACCAACACATGTAAGATAGAGGACAAAAAATAGTCAACCAAACAGAAATATGAAATGCTTTCTTTGTAAGAGCATAATAAATGAAAACCTATTTTAAATGCCTTCTCTAGTGACTGTCCCCTCCTTCCCATATTTGAAATCCTAGATCTTCATGATAGTGGAATAAATGCATTTCTTCCAACTCACAGGTGACATCCCCAACTATGAGTCTACAGAAGATTTTGACCAGAGAGAATACTTATTTGGTAGTCATATACTAATTATTAAAGCTTTAGCAGAGGTGACTATGCTCCCTCCAACAGCACATCCTATTTCTAAAGGCTGAGGCATACAGAAGCAGGAGAGGTAACCTTCTGAAACAGGATAGTCTTGATGCCTGTTCTTCCATATTTATATTGTAATAACTGACCCAATCACATATGGTACAGGACCTATCCTGTCACCCTATTTTACACATAACCCAGTCCATGATATGCACTCTGTATCTCTGCTAACTAGAACCTTTAGATGAAAATATGCCTGGTGTGAAAATCCTGCCTTATATTCTGTGGGAAACAGCCATTCCTGTGGAAATATCCAGAGCCTGAAGCACTTTTAGGCATAGCCTGAAACAGATCTATACAACTTAAATATTTGAATATTTAAGTAGTTCTAGATCTTTTAGGACTAAGATTTGAGAGTTAAGAGTTTAAGGCAGCAGGCAGGAACATGGGTCCCTTGTATTGATGTAGTTTTTAATCAGAAAAGCACTATTTTCTTTTGGCATTTAAACCAACATATAATTTCAAATGATGATCAGAAACCAGGCCATTATCAATGCAGAAAAGTAGTATTTCATACAAAGATTAACATTCACAAAGCTAAAAACCAGAACAAACAAATAGGCTTTTGTACTTACCTAAGAAAGTTAGATAACACACAATTAGTACGGAAAAGATATCCTGGTGGGCTTTTTTAGTTTGTTTGGGATTAGTTTTTTTTTAATTTGTTCTTTGTTGTTTTGGTTTTTTCCTAACATTATCTGCTCTTCTTGTTGTAATAGCCTAGTTGTTATGGCAACCATCCATACTCCAGCAGACTTTCACAAAAGGGTTAGTACAGACAAACAATTCATGTTTTCTTCAGCAACAGTTCAAAAAAGCTGCAACAAAGATCACAGCATTGTCCAAGGAAAGTACTGGAATTCCTCTAATCAAATAATAGCATGACAACACACCCACTAACTTACCCTCAACAACCTCCCAATCCACATACTACCTCAACCCCTTCACTCATGTTGGGGAAATAAATAGTCTGTAGCTAATAAAAAAAGGAATCAGTAGGTTAATGTTCACAAATCTAATTGCCAATAACAGCTGCGGGACCTCTCATGGTTGGGACCACAGGATTTTAACCCCTAGGTTACAGATAACAAGATGCTGTAAAAGTCCATCCAGTTCTCATGTGATAACTGCAACTTCACAGTTAAAAGTAGTAAGCAGAGTTGTGTAATAAACCTTAAGATTTCTTTCAGCAATTGCATGGTAGAATATTTAAGAATCTATTTTCTGGTTTTCCATGTTTACTGTAGATTGTGTTTTAATGGGAGGGGAACTAGTAGATTTAAAAAGTGATTTATCAGTTTTATCTGTAAGGTGTTCATTTTGAACTTAGGACTGAGTAAAGTCAAAAAGTATGTGATATTACCATAAGATAATTATGATTCTTTCCTTAAAAGGGAATGTATGCACACAGCTTTGGGTATGCATAATGAAGCTGTAGTTTTTAAACCACAGAAGTAATTATATTGAGTTCAGCAGACCTGCTAACGTATTTGCAACACAACAATAAAAGATACTATCTTTAGTATGACTAGGTGCCAATGAAGTCACATCTGTGTAAGAGTCAGTCAGCAGTATTCTGCTTTGGACAGAAGGGTTCAGCCATGCAGAACTGGACTCTCAGTTCACAGGACTGAAAAAAATTAATGCTTAAGTGACCTCCCTCACTTAACCTTAGTCAACTGACAGTTGCAACTTAATTAGTGAATGAAAATTTAAACCCAAGAGTTAGATACAAATATTTACACTGGCAAAATTTTAACACTATTGAATTTAATAACGAGACTGAAAACTTAAACTCTAATGCTCTAATAACTGCAAATTCTGATTAAAATACAGCTGAGCTACAATTAGCACGGAAATAAATTGTCCATGTGATAGAAGCAAGTGTCTGTGTGGATCCCTTTGAAGGAATCCTGTCTTTGTGCAGTAGACCTATGTTTGTGGGAAATACTGTATTATTTTGTGATAGTATTTGTGATATATCCTTCCAGCTAGAACATTTCAATATTTGCATGGTCTGTAGAAAAAGTTGTTGACTCAGTTCAGTTGTGCATTCAGCATGACTTTCAGATATCCTGATTCTTGGACACATAATTATGCATCTTTAATGTGAAATAACTACAGTTTAATATTTTATAAGTTGGGATAGTATTAATATATTCTGTATGAGAAGCTACTGCATGAAGACTTTCAGATATTAATATTCAAATACTTCCCATTGTATATCCTCTGCCTATGGTTGAAAGCATGTCTTCTTCATGTCGCTGTATCTTGCATCTCAAATACCATATGTAGTTCTTGTTCCTGTTTCAAGAAACTGGATTTGTAAAACTACAAAAGACACAAAGAATGGCATCACAAAAGACAAATGGCAGAGAATAGCTTTCAAACAAATGTCTGAGTAGTTCTTTACATTAAAACAGACTGAGCCTTAACCCAGAGATTTCTGAAAGCTGGAAAGGTGTATTATATGTGTATTTGACAGGCTTATTCTTATGTTCTTCTATATGATACGCTAATCTCCCATATCAGGGACAGGTTACTGGCTAGATCGAACTTTGTTCTGTTGCAGCATGGCTATTCTAGTTCCTTTTAGTTGTACCTTGAAAGTGGATGAAACTGTAAAGAACCTGAATTTATTTCTGTATTTTCTTTTTAAAATAGGTCTGAGAATACGATTGTTCAATTTTTCTCTCAAGCTACTAAGCTGTTTCTTATATATAATTCGTGTGCTCCTGGATGATCCTACACAAGGATGGTAATGCTTTTTTTTTTTTTCATTATTTCTGCTCTCAAAGCACTGTTTAACTTATAAGAAATAAATTAATTTAATGAATAAATGTTTGATATTCTATCAACAGGATTTGGGTTTATGTCTTACAGATGTTTTGAAAGAATTATAAAGCTAGTCTCACATTGTGAATGGAAATAAGAACTAAAATAACAATACTCTTTTTTCATTTTAAATGCTAAAATAATCCTAGCTCTTTGCTCAGATACTGTGCATCAGATATAGTTGTGCAAAATTATATCTTTTAGTTGTATTATTACATAACATTTCTATGTATCATATTTATGTTTAAATTTATAAAAATATTTGCAAATATCTGATTGCCAGTTTATGCAACAATAATTTTAGGATTTTACTTAAATAATTTTACTTAAAACCCCAGATCCCAGAAACAAACAGACAAATACATGAAACTCAGCTTTCATGCAGATGACATTGATGATAATTTTCTAGCTCTCTGCTTTCTCTAAAGACTTAGAAGAGAGTGAGACGAAAAGTACATTCTGTACTTGTGGTGATCTATGGTCATAATGCATGATTTTTCACACTTACAATTATCAGTATGGTATTCTATATGGGTCACTGGGTACTCTCTGCTTTTTTTTTTTTAAGTTTTACAATCAACCACCAATTGTAGAAGAAATTATATTTATAATTTATTCAATCCTATACTTCAGTTGTATTTCTATCCTGGATATACTGAATCTTCTCAATTCTAAATGCTAATAAGCACCACATTTTATTACCTTACTTGCTTTCACTTGATTTGATTCTGTTGGGCTTAAATACTGAAAGAAACAAAGCACAGATGAAAATACTAAGCTTAGGATGTTAGAACTAACACTCTTCACGTAATGGTAGGCAAAGGACAAAGTATAACTTCTAATTTTAATATTTGAAAATCAGTTAAATCTAATAAGAGTAATACTATAAAAAAGGTAGTGCACAGGAGAAGTACTATATTTTACAAGAATCAAATCCAAAGCAAAGTGAGTTAAAGAATATCAGCTTTACTCAGCAGTGCATGAGAGAAAGATGTGTGAATGGGAAGTACAGAAGATGCATTTGAGAATTTTTTTTGGTCAAAATTTATTGTAACAAATTAGAGCATCTGAAAAAGGGCCAAAAAAGAATTCCCTGGAAAAGCAAGAACTGCAAAAAAAGATTTTTTGACTCCACATGTCTCTTAGAATGTCTCTTCAAGGAGAAACAATGTGTAGGGAGGAAACAAGCAGTAAAGATTTTGCAAAACCTTGAACAGTGATGGAGAAGAGAAAATCCATCCTTAGAAATTTAGACATAGTAGCACAGCAACTCAGTGACCTGAAATTTTACAGCTAATGATAGTTTCTGGCATGAAGAAGCAGCTGATATTGTTTTGTTATGAGAACTCTAGTGAGCCCAAATGAGCATATTATACTGCAAGGTTATGTGTGGGTATGCAGAACAGATTAGAACATCAGTACTTCTGCCACAGGTATACTTCAATACTTTTGTATTCATATGCAAAGATTTTTTTGAATCTTGTAGATTGCTTAATTCTGCAGACCTTTCCTGACATGTTCGTTCCTGCAGTCTAAATGTTTAACAATTCACCAGCCAGAGAGTGTATTTGTATTTTCTATATATATTTTTCCCTTGTGTTGTGGTACATTTAAGAGCCTAGTTAGTTTGTTCTATGTCTGTATAACATTTGTCTGGCTCAGAAGTTTCAGATAAGTCACTTCTGCATGCTTACAAAGACCCCAGTCTTAGAATCTATGCCAGACAAACTAGCCCTGTGCCCACATGGTACCCCATTAATGTCAAGGATTTTACCCATAGAGATCCTGAGGGCTTGATACCTAAACTACTGCTGTAATGCATTCTTACAAATGTGGTGTTAGGAAGAAAAATCCTTTCTAGATTCTTTGTCACAGCCTGATGAAAGAAACTACTCAGTGTGCTGTGAGCATGGCCAGAGAAGACATTATCACCTGATTGTTTTTAAAGTGACAGTTCTGGGAGGAATACTTTTCATCACAGAGTCCCCTGCAGATTTATTTCCTGTTTTTCAGAAATGCCTGCACAAGTTAGTATCTTTCATTTACTCCTTCAGGCACTGCGGATGTACTGGGAAGAGCTTAAGACATAAAGCATCCTTATTAATGGATACAATTTAGCACTTGCCCCACTCATAGTCGGTAAAAATACAGCTATTACTAACCTGTGGTCTTCAAATCCTTTTCTACTGACCTTGCTTGCCAAGAATAAACAAGGGTATTTTTCATCATTTACACAAATAGATATTACCACATCCTTACATGACCGCTTGAAGGGAGGATTTGTGCCAGTAATTTAAGGCAAGATAGCATCACATGTCCATAGCAGCTATTTTTTTACATAGATGTCACCAGTTTCTTACTTGAATTACTGCTGCATGAATCTCCAGCCCTCCTGACATCCTTGCAAGAGGATATAAGGTGTAGGTTGATGCAATCTTTCCTGTTGAGAGTATGGCAGATATATGTGCTCTTTCTGTCTGAGCCTATCCATGTGATAGGATTTCTAGTATCTCTTGATCTTCAGTATTTATTGTGTACTTAGTTCAGCTTTTCAAAGTGTAGTTTCAGTTGTTTTCGTTTTAAATTGGAACATGTTTGAAAATAAATCTCTCAAAAAATGTAACCTGAAATGCTTCATGGTCCTTTATCTACAGATACAGAACACAGAGAGAACTGCTTTCTAAAAGCTATTTTACTTTTAAAAACGTCTATATGCATAATCTAGGGTTTCAAACTATTGCATGCATTTTATAGCACACTTATTAATGTAATTAATATCCCGTTCCTCCCATATGCTTTTATGATCGTGTTCCCATATACATCTGCTAATGAAAATGGACTTTGCATGGATGGGATGACATCTATCAGTAAGGAATTAAACAGGAGTTGTTCCAATCAAAACTACACACCTGGAACGATTGATTGGTGAGTTCCTAATTTAAAAAAGCAAACCAAAAGTCCACATAATGGTGAGAAGGGGAGGGAAGCAGGAAGACAAGTCATTTCCATCTGGAAACATTTTAACATATAGTAGTCATGTTTCCATAACTCTTAAGCAATTACTTCCATGTTACTGAATATTCAAAACTGCCTTTAATATTGTAATTGTTTCCTGATTGCCTAAGTGAACTGCTGGATTGAATGCTCTTATAAGATCTGAATTCTATCAATGCTTATACCTTGCTGAAGAAAAATAGATGCCCTTGTTTATAAAACACTTATGAGTAGCAGTAAACGACTAACAGTAAACTATTGTGGCACTAAGGGTGCCAGATTCCAGTAGTACTGTATCAAGTGCCTATTATCATTGAGTTTAGTAAATACTAAGACAATATGAGATTTTTCCAAGATGTGACATCCCCTATGAGTTAGATACCATTTATATTGTTACCCAGATAGCAAAAAGTTCACACAAAAGAATTGTCAAGTTTCTTTTTCCTACCACAAAAAGTTATTCCTCTGCATCTCTAGAATCAAAAGCACAAATTGATTTGTTCTTTCTGGAATCATAGGGGATGAACTAGCAGCCACTGAACCCAATAAAAGATTTTGGTGTCACTAGGTGTTGGATTACTCTCATGGGAACTCAGTGATTGGCTCTGGATTAGAAATACAAGCAATGTCAATACTCAGTAGATAACTACTGATTGAAAGTTTTTGTTACTGAGTATTTTTTCTAAAAATAAAGCTGCTCAAATTTCCATTCACATATACAATTTTTTTCTCTTGATTTTGTTCAAAACATTAACCAGATTTTTGTTAATTTAATATTTATTTTCTTATTATAATGAACAGGTCTCCTATTATTTGGGTGAATCGAAGCTTGCCTTTATGGGGGTTACAGGTAATATGTAAATGGCCAATCTAACTATTTCCATTTAATACTTGTAGAAAATATTGATCTATAGCATTTTAGTGATGTTAAAGGATACTCGGAAAAGATATTAACAAAGAAATCTACCTGATGACCAAGGGCAACAAAAGCATAAAGTAAACATCATCTGATCTGAGCTCACTGATTTGAATTTATATGGCTTTACAATATATTTGTAAAGTATTAAAGTTTATAACAAAATATTGTAGAATTAGATAGCCTTTTCGCTTAGAATTAGCAAGTTCTGTTAGGTCAAGTAGTCACTGTTTGCTCTGATGATGAGTTTAAATTTCGTAATTGCTTTTGACTAGTTTTTGACATGTTTCATGGGCTTTCTCGTTAAATACACTAAAAAGCTAAAGTTACTTCATAATATAGAAGCCTACATGTTTAGAGGAGTACATCACAAAAGATGTACTACATCAGTGCTCTGTGGGGCTTGGAGATCTTTTGAAGTTTGTGGTTCAATCCTCAGTGTCCTGGAGCTGCCTCATTTTAGGAACACTTCTTACTCGTAGACAGTGCTGTGGGAATTCTCCCTGTGAAATGTGTTTTTCTACTAAGAATTCCTTAAGCTTCCAGAATGGTTATACCATTATATTCTTGTGCCATGCTTAGTGCAATGCCATTACAATGGTTTGTACCTTTACATTATACACAGTTTTACTAAGGGAAGAATCTCTTGATGAAAATACTTTTCAATTCTTTGCTTAAAGTATGCACTGTTTGAATAAATTTTGACCTAGACATTCAGATTATTGCATTCAATTTAATTAAAAAATACTGACAGATTTATTTGCTTATGGTTACAGTCTTATTCTATTAAGTTTATTTGATAAACATAGGAATTTATACATATGCGTATGCATGTGTATATACACATGCATTCACAGTAGGATATATATACAGTAGTTGCAAACAAAGGTTTATTTTCATTTGAGATACAACCTGAGTTTATATAAAACAGTAATACTTATTTAGAGAAACTGATATAATATTTTATTGCATATTGACACCATTTAAGGCTAGGCCAACTCTTAAAATGGGTAGCAGACACTATTAACCCCTCCCTCCCCAGCCAAACCAGGACACATATTTTAATAATTTTCCAATTCATAGCATCTTTTTTAATTCTAGATAATGATATTGTGAGTGCAAATAGTACAGTCTTGTGAGTTTTCAGCAGTAGTGAGCATTAGTTTAAAATTAGAAATCCTGAGGCTTGTTTGACTTCAGGCTCCAGCTGAATTTGTACATCTTTTTGATGTAATATTCCCACAATATACATTAAAATACAAATATTTGCTATGCAAAGGATTTAAGTAAGTTTTGTGGTTATTTAATATAGATAAAGTTTTAAGTAATTTTTTTACTGTTTTGATATTTGACTATTTAAATATTTCCAAATTACATAATCTAAGTGAAGGCTGATAAGTTGAGCTCAGTTGCATTTAAATATTAAAATCAATAATGATTCATCTGTATAGTTTTTTGTTGTTTTCAACTTTCTGAATTATACGCAGCAAGAAAAGTGTTGGTTTTTCCACACATTCATAACATCTTTACGGAAAAGTAAAAAGCTGACCAGCTTCCATTATTTACAGCTTCCTCCTTCTCTGTCTTTCTCTCTTGTGGAAAGATCTCAGTACCTTTTAGGAATATACAGCTGAAACTTGAGAAACAATCTGGCACACTGTGTATGGAACTCTGTAAAAACCATGGAAGGGCCACCCTGCAGGCTCTCTCGAGTGTTATACTTGGAAAAGAGCAATGAGACTCAAGTCACAGCCTATGCTTTAGTCAGAAAAATAACAATATTTAAGCTTCATGCTAAAGGCTGTTAGCTGAGATGGTTTCAGAGGATACATGGAAAAGCTGTTTTTTATTACCTTTTACTTTTCATTGTAATGCTTAATGTGATATATTCTTTAGAAGCCAGTATTAATACACATATTTTATCACTTAAGGTTTCTGTGGCTTTAATAAGTCTCTTTGAAACTCTGCTGCTGAGTTATCTAAGCTACAAGGTAAGTACTTTTAGTCATATTTAGGCATAAATCATGACAAAAAGTAACTGAGTTAAATGTTTCAGTATAAAAATCAAGTGCCTGCATTTGTGCCCACACGGATGGACAAGCAGGAAGTTGAGAAAAACACACATGTAGAGGACAGCATATTGTCACAGGCAGCTCTGTTCAAGTTTCCCAAATTTATGAGGAAACACTAATATCTAGAGGGTGGAATTTGTTTTCCATTTTTTTCTATTATCCACTGGCACATTGTATTTTGAAAACACATTCTCAAAAGTGACCTTGATTTTTGGATACATATTTCTCAAGTATACAGTTTCCATAATGCAATGGACACAATTCTCATTGATGTCAAAGCTGTAGCTGCTCAGTATCTATAACTCAAGTTTCAGGCCTCTAAAACTGCACACCAAAAAATTAGGCCAAGACAGTACTTTTCCTTTTTTTAACTTATGGATACCTACATACTTGTATTATCCATCTCTCTGATGCTATTGGAGCATCTTTGCAAAATGCCTTGAAATCATCTGATGTGAATACAATACATTTTTGTATTTGAATTCTCCTTAAAATATTTTTATTCATTTTCTTCATTACATTTTGTTATGTGCTATCCTAGTGAGTTTTAGGTACACTGTGGTTTTAGTATCTTCAGGAGAAAAATACTAAAATCATTTATCAAACTAAATATGAAAAGACTTGGTTTCTAAAGCTGAAAATATCTTGGAGCATAATTATTTTTTTTTTAGTTTTTGAATTACTGACATTCAGTAGCTATCAGAGCCACAACTGAAGTTAGAAAGTTGTACTTCAGTGTGCTTATCAAATGATTATGGTATAAATGTTTTCCTTAGCACCCAATAATGCTGAGGCTTAAAACTGTCTACTGTCTAAAAATTATTAATCCTTCTAGCATATACTATTTAGGTGTTGGGGGTTAAAAATGCAAATCAATTATAAGGAGAAACAATCCAAAATTAATAGATCTAGTGCCAAAACAGCAAAAAGCAATCATGATTTGTACTGTTCTTGAGTTTTTTTGGACAGCATATTATCCCTATCCGTCCAGCCTGTGGTCTGCGTCAGTTTCAGTGACTACAGAAGATGAGAGAAATATTGGCAAGTCAGGTCCCATGAGAAGTTACTTATTACTGTGCAATGGGTGTAAAACTCTACTATCCTGATTTGCTGCATATATCTGTCACAGAAGTTGAGGCAATTTTATGATGGCCATATTTCCACTCCCCATAAGGGAATAAGAATAACGTAAGGAAGAATAATAGTACTGAAATACACTTTGGCAATCCACCTGATGCAAACACTGCCTTCCATCTGGTTCTGTCCTCTTAGTTACAACCTGGAAATGTCATGATAGAGCCATTTACCAGAGTTTTACACCACTCTTGGGAAGCCAAGGTGGCTGTTATTTCGCTCACTGTAAGGCCTTTCTGCACAGCCAGGATGATCGAAGGAGCCTTGGTTCATGTAAATCTGTGACAGATTACTTATTTCGTGCCAACATTTCCAAAGCTTTTGCAATTTAGACACAAGTCAGAGAACGAGCCAGGAAGAAAACAACAAGAAAAAGATGATTGTGTTTGTATTTGTGTGCACACTGTTAGGATTTCACAAATAACCTGTAAAATAAATAAAGCAGTCATTTGAGAGAACACTCCAAGGAATTTACCTTTCAGATGCCTGGTTGATGGCATATGAGAAACGATTCAACATGCAGAATAGTAAGGACATAATGGTATATCATGCTACTAGGATACAGTGAATTTGCATTTTTTATTGCTTTTATATCGGAGGAATGCAAAGAATGTGGCACTGTATTACACTGTTGATCTGTTGGATCCAAGAATGAACAGTTTACAGTCTGCATTTTCACAGCTTAACCCATTACATGAGGGTTTGACCTTGGCCAAAATTCTGAAAGCTGTCTACATTAGAAATTTCCATTGCCAAAAGTCATCACAGACGTCTGGCAATCGTACTATATCACTGGCACACAGTTTTTGCTGCTTTTATCAGTACCATAAATTCTCACTGCAAAAGGCAGCTTTGCAGAAGATATGATGCATTTGTATGTGGAAGCCAGAATCTTGCAGCTGCTTGCATCACTAGATACCTGGAGCACATCCGCACAGGTGTTTTGCCTGCATGAGTAAATTATGTGACATCTCTTTTCTATGATGTAGAAAAGAAAGCTCTTAACATTAAAAATGAGGAAATTAGTGAAAACACAGTATGGGTCAGTTGGGAAAATAACTTTTTCTTTTGATTTTATTACTTCTACAAATAAAACCTCAGCTTACAGTTCTATAATTTTACTTCTGTTTACAGGGCTGTTTATCACATGAAATATTTAAGATTATTCCAGTATGTCTTGCCCCACCAATTACTATTACATGGAAGACAATAATCCCTGCCCCATAGGTACAAAAGCCTCCAGATGTGAAAAGTTAAAATAGAAAAAGAATTTCATATGCTATAGAGCTTGTATTTAATTTTCATTATATCAAATGGTTATTTTAACAGGAAAGATTAATATATCATTGCAACTGAAAATATGCTATACTGCAAATTCTTGTAATATTGCCATGATACACGCTACGTTCTTATTGCATTACCTATAATGGAGTCTTGATATACAGAGTTAGTAAAGCTGTAAGTCACTGAATTTTAAATCCTTCTTTTTTTACATGTATAGATTTTCATCCCAACATTTAATCATTCACAGTCACTGCTCAGATGTGGAAAAGAAGTAGTATTAACCCCATCCTGTAGCTCGCAGTAAGCAGATTAAAATATCAGTACCACTTTCATTGAAATATATGGGAAGACCTGTAATTTCATGTAAGCAAGATCAAGTTCCAAAAAGCCGTGAAATGTACTGAAGTGTTTGTGGCAGAAATACAGAACTTTGATCTCATAGTCCTAATTCAAACATTAAATACTAGATTGTCTTCCTTCTCTCTCCAAAACATCTGGGAAAGAGAAAATACAAAGTAAAGATAAAAGAAGATGAATGCAAAGGAAGGAAGGACTCACTATAGAATATTGCTATAAATCCCTAACTTAACTTCATTCCTCTTTTTAATACTTATTTCTTGGTAAATTAATAGCAGGATTAGAATTAATAAAGAGAAATATCCAGACCTGTGTGACTAACGTGCAGAGGCTAATGAAACAAGATTAAGAGAAAATGAGCTGGTAATCCTTTGGAAAATACAACATACTTGTATTCCTCTTTTACTTCATGTTTTGCCACGAAGTTCTATGAGAAGTATGTACAGACAGTGACACATCATTCATAACAAATATTAGTAGGGACTATAGGGCAGTCACCTGTGCATAGGGGTAATCGGAACAGTTGATTTGATGGTAAAATCTTCTGAACAGGGCATGTTCTTTGGATATATGTCTCTGCAACTCTTATGCTGTACTAGGGCTTTGTCTGTAGTTTTTAGACACTCTAAGACAATAAGCATTAAGGTAAGAAAAACTTTGGCACAATCAAAAGCTAAAGCATTGCAATATAGGATTTTAAAGATTTAGAATCTTCTAAGAAAAAAGAAGTAGAAATAGTTACAGATAAAAGAATTTGCTGCCTAGGTAGTCTGCTACTTGTATGAAGAGTCACTGAAAAATGAGAATTACTAAAAAGATAAATTCCTTGGGACAGGAGCCTCACCTCCTTATCTGTAAGTGTACACATAAAAATAAAAGTAAACTATCCTTTGAAGAACAAAAAAGCAGAGACAAGGTGTCTGTGTATGATTCCAAGGTATCTAAAAATGTAGTAGAAGAAAACAGGAGCGTATTATTCTCTGGAAAAAAGAAAACTTAATTTAATGAAGCTCTTCATTAGCTGAGAGAATGAGTTAACTCAATTAGAATTCTTCATTTGAGCTGTCTTACTAAGTAGGTCACAGCAAGGAAATATATGGTCATATGGAAATGGAGAATTGCTCTTGTAAAAATATAGATTTAAAAGTATATATTTTTACCTATGAGGTACATTATGATAAACAGCAAGAAAAATAGGCCAGAGTCGCCTATATTCTATATTCACATTTGACATATGTGTTTAAAACTGAGACGAATGATGTTCCTGAAATTCAGCTAGTGGGGGAGACTCCATATGTGGCATTAGAATATCACATATATTTGTCATCAGAACTATATGTAAGCTTACTGTGACATGGTGATTTTTTTTCTGTTTCTTTGAAGGGAAATATCTGGGAACAAATTCTGAGAATACCCTTTCTCCTGGAAATAATTAATGCTGTCCCTTTCATTATCACGGTAAACATATTTAAATTAATACATTTGCACATTGCACTTTCAAAGCTGCGCAAATAATTTAATTTTTATTGAAGTAAATTTGAATCTTATGTGGATGACAAATTTGTGCCTGTGAGAACAGAAATTTGTCAACAACAAGAAGATAAGTTTGCTACTTGAATGAAGTAATAATACAGATCACTTTCCCCTTCCTTCTCAATAGGGGACAAACCAACCCAAAGCTGTATAACTCAAACTACAGCACAATCCATAAAATAAACCAAGTAGATATAAAAATCTAAGAATCTCTGGTATCTGCACTGAAAACTAACTGTCTTTATTTTGTCAAATTATCTGACATACCGTTAATCACAAGGCAAGAAAAAATGTTATCCAAAGCCATATCTCACACTAGAAACACATTAATAATAAGTATTTTTCCCAAATGTTTCATTGCTGCTTGAATAGAAAAGCTCTATTCTTGAATAGAAAAGCTTTTAATGAATTTGTTAATTTTTCTTTCAGATTTTCTGGCCAGTCCTAAGAAACCTGTTTATTCCTGTATTTTTAAATTGTTGGCTGGCAAAGCATGCTTTAGAGAATATGATTGTAAGTAAGACAAAGGAAATAACTACTTTAGACTTTCTATTTTTTTTTAATATATTATCTTTAGTGGGATTTTGGCAGTACAGTCCACTGTCCAGCTTTAATAGGAATTAACCAGATCTGCGTTTAGATTACACAAATGGTCAAGCATCGCTAAACTGCTTTCTACATCAAAATTGTAAAAGTGAAATCTCAATTAGTATAAATTGTTACTGTGCCAATAAGGGAAAGTTGGAATGGCTCGTTCCTTTGCTACGCTTCCATTCATACACAATTGCAGGGAACTCAACTGCTACGCCTTAATAGGTCTTTGCAGCTTGTAATTTGTAACCTAGACATGAGCAGACAGACCTTAAGGCAGCTTGCAGTAGTATCAGAATTGTGCCAGGATGAACAGACAACTAGTTAAATAATCACAGAATCACAGCTGGCTCTCTTGCGCCCTTCTATATGATCAGCAAATTCTAAGTGCATTTGAATGACTGCATTTTATCAGGGCAGTATATAATTCCTTTACAGAATCAGCTCATGCCTTATTATTTCAAAGCTAAAAATAACACCTATTTTCCGTTAATATAGAATGATCTTCACAGAGCTATCCAACGCACACAGTCTGCAATGTTTAACCAAGTCCTCATTTTAATATCTACCTTACTATGTCTTATCTTCACTTGGTAAGTGGCCAAAACCCCTTTGTTTTTATTATATATATTGGCTTTTCTTCCTTTACTACATGGTGATAAAACAGGCATTGTGGAAATCATGCACTGAAGTAAAAAGAGTAATATACTTGCAGTGAAAGTGTTAGCTAGCATTTGGTACTACTAGGGTTCTGATACCTGGGGTTTGGAAACAGAATATGCATGCATGGGAAAGGGAATCATTCTCACTCTAGGAAGGAAGTATAGATGATGCAAAACCACAGGAAAAACAAGTGGGGGAAAATTGACATATGTACCAAGAGTGCAATCTCAGCAGAAAAGCCACTCAGATTTGAAGAGTACCAGCAGAAATACCCATATTAAGGTCATCTTGCTCTGACTGGTGGAACAGAGAGAGAAAAATATGCAAGATCTCAGTCTTATCAGTCTGATGAGCAAGTCAGGTTCCCATAAGGAGTACAGGGGACAGCTGTTAATAATCTAGATTACAGAAAGTGCCAATTTTATTAATCTAGGTTACAGAAAGTAGTGGATGGTAGGTTCAAAAAACAAAAATGTGTTACTCTGAAGAACTTTTTGCTGCAAGACCTTGCGAACTTAAATTTACAGGAGTTTGGGAAGCATGGGAAAAATCTTTTGAAGGCATTAAATATAAACATCCTTGGTTAATGAAATTCATGACCTGCAGATTATTGGAGGCTAGGAAAAGATCCACAGGAAACACTACTTGATTGGTCTGATTTTATACTATGCCTTAGAGATCTCTTGTTGACCAGGGCTGGAGACAGATAAAGTAGACTCCATGAGTCTTTGGTCTCACCCAATACGGTCATGCTTACGTTTGTATAAATGGGCAGTGGTTATAATGTAGCTTGGTAGCTTACTTAACATACAGAATTTTCTCAGCAGTAGCGCCTGAGAAGTGAGTATCATATATTGTGCAGGGGGGCGGGAAGTAGAGGAAGAATGTGTGTGTTACAAGACAGTATACAAGGGGGCAGTGAACAGAGAAGATGATTCTGTGTGGAAAGGCTAAATCACCTGTATTTATTTTGTCAGACAGGGTGCTTTTAGCTCAGCACACTGATAAAGTTTGGTCTGTCATTTTGGGGACAGTGATTTGATTTTCTCTTACTTTATTTCTCTAGCTTGTTTTTGTGATAGCCACTGTTACGTGCCGCCTAACCCTTTTGGTAATAACAGTGTAAATTAACATATGGCCTTTTCCAGTGTTGTCCCTCTTTGTCCTTTATTCAAGAAGAGGAGTTTGTTCTAGTGGCTAAATGAATGATCCAATTTTATCCTTTGTCTTATGCCCACACAACTGCATAATGACAAATGCTACCAGTTCTAAACAGTAATGAACTTTTGTGAGATTAAATTTCCTATTGACTATTGTGGCCCTTAAAGAGGAAATTTTATATGAATAAGGACTACAATACTTGAACTAGAATGCATAAAATTCTATCACTTGGACATTTTTAATTAGCTCTAATTTTGCTTTTTAATTTTTTACAATACAGAGCACTCTTGAGTAAATATGCTTTCACCTTTCTAACCTACTTCAGTATTTTACTGAACTGCTGAACAAAATATGTATCCAGTTCTCACTGAAGTAAGCTAGTTAATGAGAATGTTTCCTAAGAACTCCGTGTGATGATCCCTGGTTGAATAAGATATAGAAGCTGCACCTAAATAGAACATCATGCTCACCACCAGGCATTTTGATAACTGACAGTAAAACATGCAGAAGATGGCAAGCTTACCTACAGTAATGATATCTGGTCTCAACAGCCACAAATACCAGCTCATTATAGATCATTATATACTGACCTAGTATTGACCCTGCTAGACTGCAAAATAAGCTAAATAGGATGAAAACACCCAGTAATGCAATAAGTAAGGAAATGAAGCACTTTTGGAATGACTAAGAATAGTTGTTGAAGCATCTGCAGTTCTGTTTAGGCAATTGTTACTATTGCTTACATGAACACACATAATGGCATTTTTACACTTTTTTACCCATCTCTGTATGATTTTATATTATAGAGCATATTTTAAAAATATCTAAAAAATTCTCTACAAACAGTCAAAATCAATTAGCTTAATGTCTTTGATTATGTTATTTATGGTGAATTCGAGACAGTGTTTCATTTTAAGAGACATCATTTAGAGCTTACATGAGTTTCTTCATGCTGAAAGAGGAGCAAAGTCCATTTCTGGAATCTGTCCACTTAAGGGTGGCTTTCACCAGGCTGATCTTTCACATTTTCTGCAACAGTAACCAAGTATATTCCCCCCAAACACATATGGGAGCCAGCGCTGGACTTATCCATACGTGTAATGGAGCACAACACAAAAAAATTTTGAGCTAGAACCGGTCTGTTTTCCTAACCATGTTTTGGTTACGTTTAGAGATACTGCCTTGGTCCATGAAGTACCATGGCTTCAGTAATGCAAAATTAATAAGCCTAGATTAGTAGCTCCAATACAGTACTTACAATTTCAGAGCATTTTCCTCTTATATTCAGTACCACAGGGACATGTTCGTGGTGTGCTTTTGGCGCCACTGATAGCTACCCTCACCGTACCTTCCTGCCGACCAACGACTTTCAGGCACTACGTGGATTAAATTGTAGTACGACAGCCCTTCATAGTTCCTGGTTGACAGGCTTGCTTTTACCATTTACTTCAATAGGAACATTGGCTTCTCAGCACTTCTGAAGTCAATATAACTTTATAACACGGGGTCCTTTTCAAAACCATGCTTTTTTATCAGACACATAGAAAGAGGCAGCATATAGCTTCGTATGGGGATTGCACCATTTTATAAGAAGTCCAAGATGGTATGAAGCCCAGAAAGACTCCTCTTTCTGCTTCCATTTTTTACCAGTTCAGTTAGACTGGTGCACTCAGAAAGTACAGCAAAAGTGCTTTCTTACTGCTTAAAGTGAGACTGAAACCTTTTGTAAGTCTTTTGATGGTCATTTCTGTAAGAAAGTTTAAAACAAGTAAATGCTGAAACATATCTGCTTTCCAGTGATTAGTTCATATCTAAAAGATATGCTGCTTAATCAATTTTTCAGAATTTTGGGTCTATTTTAAACATATTTAAAAGTAGGTTTTTGCTGAGGTGTGAGAGAGATGCGTTCTTTACTTCCTAGTACAATATCAGAAACCTGTAGTTCTGTAGAGAGTATGAAATAGCAGGATATGTACAAGCATATTGAAGCTGATGTCTCCACTGATAATTCTAAAAGTACAATTTTGCTGCAGAATGTATAATATAGGATCTTTTCAGAGAGCTCGTGTGTTTACAGAGTAAGAGGATATTTATGTCAGAAGATACTTATATCTGGTATGGGTGCAAGTTCAGTGAGCAGGAACATACCTCTGCCATCTATCTATCTAGCTGGAACTGAAATTATGCTCTGTCAAATATGGAGGAACAGTTCAGTCCCAGTCACTTAGAAGTGCCTCAGCACAGCCAAGACCCTGGGGAAGAACCTGGCTAGACCTCCTGGTCTCCCAATGGTTTACAGTGGAGGGAGAAAATTTGATATGTCTAAGCTGAGAACATTTTTACTTGTTCTTCTAGTGTGTTAGACAACAGCATTGCATTTGTTACCGTTTGACTGGTCATCTTTCTCAACAGAAACTTACTTTAAAGATCAGTTTGAGGGATCTATACTACTTACAAGAGCTGCAAGAAAATGGCATATTTATAGAAAACATTTTAAAAAAAGATAAATGCATAAAAGAAGCTCTTCCTCATCAACTTTGCTCCTGTCTGCATATAATAAGTATTTTTAAAATAACTTCTACCATAGCTAGCAAAAAACCCACAGAAAATTAGTTAAATTCTGCCTGATACATGTCAGCAAACCCATCAGTTACATCTCCACAACAGAATCTTATAAGTGATGGTTACACATATAGACACGTTCCAACTCATGTCTTATAACTCAGGTGTAAGCTTTCAGATGAAAAGTTGAAATCATAAATAATCTAATGTTTACAGCCAATTAGCTAATCTCACAGTTTTTAGATATTATTCAAGCTGTCCTTTGCACTCAGAATATAGTAGGAAAAGGCTCCTTCTGTATTTTTGTATACAGTTTACAATTTGAACATTGTTACAGAACAAACTAATCACATAACAAAATTTTTGCTCTATTCCACTCTTTGATTTTTGATGATAATTGTTGATGGATCTGGGAGTAGAACTCATTTGCAGATCAATACATTCATGAGACCAACTCCATGTATCTGTAGTTTACAGATGATATACAAGGATTTTTTTTTCCCTTTTCTTCTGATTTTGAAGACAAATTGGGCTATCCAATAATTTTTCTTTCTTTAAATACCTCAGTGGCCTCCTAACCAGAGCAATTGTACATCTATTAAAAGATGTGTACTCCTATATGACAGACTGTTCAGCAGTTACTGTTGACAGAGTTCTAGTGAAAGTTACAGACCTAGTCAAACTGTATGTTGTGTCATTTAGCTAATGGATATTTGCACTTGTTTGTCAAATGGAATACTAATTATTTCTGTAAACTGTACAAGACGACACATAACAGTGAATGACTATTTCAGGCATCTTTCTGTGACACAGTGAATCATCTATTAAGACTTATTTTGCTTTTTAAATCATCATTAGTCATGTATCACCAGTGTAGAATGATTAGCTTGTGAAAAAGGTGGCTACAAACTGTTTGAGATGGATATTTATTTTTTTCATACTGAAGACTAAGAAGCCTGCACAAACTTTGCTTATATCTTCATTGAAAGCTCACTGAGGTCAATCTTAGCATTTTTTTACCCTTCAGTGCTTTTGACATCAGAAAATGAGGATGTTCCCACACACTAATTTACAGAGTAAACGTAGTATGCCAGTACTGTAGCGTCAATGTCAATTACAGAGTCAACATTCTCATCTGAGGAAACAGTATGAGTAAGTTGCTTGTAAGGATGAAAACAAATCCAGACAATGATCTAGTGCCAACAAG